GTTTTGTGTTTCGGCTACTATTCGTTTCCTCTACTATATGCAGCTGCACACATTACACTTCGGGGCGTTATAGGATTATGATTCCCAGCATTTCCCCAGGCCTCTACGGTGCCTCACCACTGCGTCTCCTGCGGAGCAAGCACTTTAGTAAAGAGTCGTGGGGCCGAAGCCCAAGACAAACGGCATGTAGTGGTATCAGCCTCGCAGCATTTGCCGCATGAGGTGATATATTGAGCGTCTGTGAAATTCGGCCGCGTGCCAGGGAGAAATGCTACTCCAGGCAGCAAACAGCTACAAAGACAAAGAGTGCTTTTTCCTCTCCAGAAGCTCGAAACCCTTTGACCTTAGCTTCTACCCATTTGGCCACTGAACTGCTATCTATGCAATCTTTTTTTCAGTCAGTAAGCCTCACGGGGCTGCAAAGAGCTGCTCACAAAGCGGAATGCTGCCCAACCCACAAGCCATACACATTTGATCTGAGAAGCTCTGCCTTCGTTATGCAAGACTCTGGATATAATTTCTTCCGATTAATACGGTATACTGACAGCCCTTGTGGCAGCATTTGGCTCCAGACGAGGCGTCAGTGGCCTCCCCAGCCAGTCGGCGTCGCAGAAAAGATCTGGACCGGCGCCTGGCAGCCCCATTTCTCTTATTCGTCCCATTGTTGACAGAGTACAGCAGGTTTTAGACAATTCACGCTATAAAAACGGCGAGTTCACGACAGATGTGTCAATGACGCGCGGTCTTTAAGCAATCCACGCGTCTTGTGAGATTGCACAGGGATGGAGGGCCTCTCAAATACAGTAGTATTTAACAAAATATAAGTCAGCGAAAACATAACGCTTTAAGCACAGTGTGCCGGAGCATCAGGTCGCGTACCATCGATCCAGGAAGCCCGTTGCGTCCGTCTACATTCTACACCAGCAGGACCCACACCTTCCAAAATCGAGAAGTATGTGTGCTGTGGAATGTAAAGGCATTGCTGGAGGTAAAGGGCAAAGATACGGTAAGACAATATCTTTGGCGGACCCGTTTCTGCCACTGGCCGCTAGATGGGTGCCATCAGAATCTGCTTAGTTGGTGCGCAGAGCTCCCCACCTCTCTTTATTCCACTTAGTGCAGTTCTCGAGTGCCTCCTCCTTGAACGGCGTGCAGGGCGGCGAGTTACGCTGCTTACAGACCAGGCCTGTAATGCGCAGCACTACAGTGTAGCCCAGAAACGGCATTCAGGGTCATACAACTCAGGACGCGTGCTTTGAGGTACTACTTTTAGCCAATAAACGCCTATAGAGACTTAAACTTAGTACTCGGGAGATAAGGCCTGCTGTTGAGTCCCGGAGGTGGGGCTGCCGAAAGACACTGAAGCTGCAGCTTGCCGCATGCTCACTCGCTGGCGGAGAGACGCCGCAGAAAGATCACTGCCATCTTTTTAAGGCCTCTTTATCAATTCTTGCTGACGGCCGCCGCTAGGTGCTTTTCCGCTAGGCCAGTGTGCATTTGTCTGTTTGCTCTGCTTCGCTCTAGCTTGCGACTTGTCTTTCGGTTTCGCTTTCCAACTACATTGGAGCTGCCGTTGTAATTTCCGCGCATGCTGGGGCATTGATTATACTGGTGCGACTCTTGCGGAATCCAGCCACGGACCGCAAGCTGAGCTGTAGCACAGAGGCACTATAACAGTTTCCCAGCAAGCCTACAGCGAGCCTATCGTGGCCTGTTCCTTGGGAAGAACACGATATAATGCAATATTAATACCAGGTCAGATCAATTGGGCAGAAGATAGAGCCACCTAGCTATGAAAGCCAGCTAACTATAAGAGAATCAAACTGCTAGGAGCGGCAACTTGTAGTGCCAGAAACCAATCAGGGTTTTGGCGACTGAGGGGGTCAGAGCAAATGCTGATGTTTTGTGGTCTCCTCTTCATGAAAAACAGGGACTCAAAACATGACTTGAGACTAATTGTGTGAATTTAAGTAGTGTTTGCGTGATTTATTGGTAAGCTCCTCGCAGAAGAGCACTTCGGTGTATGCGTTGTGGCAGCAGTGAGCCCGCCCGAGCGCTACAGCAGCGTCTGCAGTCGAGCTTTTAGAGAGGATGACTCCTGAGATGCCATTGGGCCATCTTGAGCTTGAGTTGAACTCCCCTTTGTGCTTGCATTAGTCACTGCAAATGGCTAAAGGTGCAGCTGGCATATTTTTGTCAACTCTTTCTTGCACTCAGACTTTCCTGAGTCTCGTCTTGTTTGCGATGGTAAGATTATAGAAAATCTCAGGTGCAGTGAAGCAAACGGCGAATAAGGTCATGCCTCTTTAGCGCCATATTTTCAAGGTTGTTGGTTACTTGTGACTACAGGTGGCAGTTCTACAGGCACATATATTGCGGTAAGCCTCTCGCTTTAATGCCTGCATATTTGTACCCATTGGCAGTCTCACATTTCTGAATAGAATGATCGCTTTCGGCAAAACTACGAATAAAGGTGCCGCGCCGCGGCCTGCGTGGGCTCACATCTATGGAGCAACTATAGATCAAGGAGGCCTACAGCACACCTTACCATCCCCCAGCCAACCACATAGCACAGAGCTTCCAGCGAGCGCTTATTGCGCAGCAAAATTAAGCCTACTGAAGTGTGCATCTGCCTGAGTATTCTTTATTTCATAGCTCTACTCTATGTTCCTCTATCGCTATCGCCACTCGGCGCAGTAGATGCGCAAACGAAAAGAAGTCTCCTGCTGTTTACAAACCAGATAATCCAAAAGCCACTCATGCCTTTAGTTAGCAACATTTACATCTGTAGAACTGCAGGCCCGCATTTTAAGCATTAAATACTCTTGAAACAAGACGACTGAAGCATCTGCAAGCTAAGGATGGAACGGTTGCAGTAGGGACTTCAGTTGCTGCAAGATTCACTCTGCATGACTCAGATGAATGCCCTGTCAAGCATACTCCCCACTTTTTTCTTGAATGTTGGATACTTGGAGAATGCCTCCAAAACAGCTTTTCCTATAGTATACAGGATCCGCATCTGTGGACCAACCTGTGTGTGGCTGGAAAGTAGTTGAAGGACTTCAGTCAGCCGCTGCTCTGGTGGCAGAAGACCAGCTCCGCATGGTGTTGATGAGTATGAGTCCCAGACTCACCGACATATGTAAAAAGAAGGAATAGGCTAAAACACATTTTCTAAAAAGAAAGGTTGGCGGCATCTGGCCATGCATCAGCTGGGGCTGAGCCCGTAGACCTCTCCCCCTGTCCTTGAAAACATTCTTTTAATGCTCCTTAATTCGGCAATGGTCCTTAGCCAAGAAGCCAGCCCGACTAGCTTCAACGTCGCTAGGCAAAACCCACTGTCAAGCCTTCCGCTCTCAACGAACAGAAGATCGTTAGTTGCGGCAACGGCGTGTGCAAGTCCAAAAGCAGTGCGCTAAACTCAAATAAAGGGAGGCTCTCATTCGGAAAAACAATTTGTAAGAGCAGAAGCTCCATTTAACGTATTTAGAGGTGCTTTCCGAAGACGATTTTGCTCTCTGAAGCGGAGCTAAGGCCCCGACATTCAACGTTACCGTAGACCAAAACCAGGAAGTAAAATAGTTCAGTATTCATCCCAGTAAGTATGCGTGAAGACTGTCGAGTGACAAAAGTGTGGACTTTCGGGCTGGCCATGTGAACTACCTGCAGCCCTTCCGAGTCCAGCGACGAGTTTTGCTGCGGACTTGCCACTATGGATGAGCAGCAGTGTACATACACCTGGGCGCCGAAAACTATCTAGACTGCAGCACTCTATTTACATCAGTTTGAAGTATCTCTTAAAGCCTAAGGCCCTCGCGAAAAGCCCGAAAGCAGGGGATAACTGTGAAATCCGTACAACAGCAACTCTAGGTGATGCTTGGTGAGCAATGGCCCCGCACTTATGGGCTTGGCCGCGGGCACACAGTGCGCCACGCCTGTTGCTGGGATGCGGGGCATATAGTTTAGAAGCAGCTTTTGAGTTGGAGTGCAGCCGCTGCAGCAGCCAGAAGCTGTGAGCCTGCTGGCCCGCGCCCACAGCCCCCGTTCCCCCCCAGGAGGTCCCCCCTGCACTCGCAGGCGCTGCCTGGAGATATATAAGGCTGCCAGGAGGCAGCAAGAGGGCCAAATGGCGCTAAGAGAAAACCAGCTTGGCCCGCTGGCGCCCGCTGGGCATGCAGACCTGAGGGGTGGTGGGCCAGGGCACCAACGGGCGCAACCCTGGGGCGGAGGCGCAGGAGAAGAGCGAAGTACTAGAGGAAGTATGAAGAGTTTTAGGGGAGAAGTCGCAGAATTAAAAATTGGGGGCCAAGAGCAGCGCAAGGAAGAGCCGCAGCGGCCGGGCGAAACGGCCCGGTGGGGGTCTCGCGGGGTCTGTAGGGGCTCTCAGCTCTCGAGTTTAGAAGAAGCGGAATACAATATTGGGTTTGTCTATGCAGAGAGGGAGAGTTTTGAGAATTTAGGAGGAAGAGAAAGGAAAAGCCCCGTTGCGGTTGCTAGCATGACGCAGGCTGCAGCATAAGCGCCCACAACAGCAGCAGCGGTTGCAGCAGCAGCTGCGTTGGGCGTCTGTTTCTGCATGGAGCTGTTTCGCGTTGGTGGCCGTGTCTGGTTAGAATTAAATGTTACTGTCTTAATTAAATTGGTTCATTAGGCGTTGTTCGTTTCGGGAGTCTTGAAACTCCGGCTGCTTCTTCTCTGCCGGGCGCCTCCCCACCGCTGCAGTCGCTACACCGCGACAGGAAGCTGTGCTGCTCTTCGCGGCCGCCTGTCCGATCTGGCTGTTTATTTCTTTTTCCCGGATTGCTGATTGTCAGCTGTGCCCTCCGCGAGGCCTCATTTGCCCGTTGGCGGCTTTTTGCTCCCGGATTCCCCCGCATGCCTCCGTCGGGTTCGGGTTTCGGAACGGTGTTCCTTTAGCTCTGTGCATCTGCTGCTGCGCTGGCGTCGCCCGTTGCCCCGCGAATTCGAGTTGGCTCTTTGTCTCTTTCTGTAATTCCACGATGGATGGAGCATCAACGGCCCTGTCGTCGGCCCCGCCTGCGGACTCCGCGCCGGCCAAGTACATTCCGCCTCACCTTCGTCGCCAGCAGCAGCAGCAGCAGCAGCAGCAGGGTGCCGCGGCGTCCGCGGCGTCCGCAGCTTCTCCCTCGGTCTCTTCCGCCGCGAGTTACCCGTCGTACCCCTCGGGGGGCCCCGGGGGCTGTTCGGGGGGCCCCGGGTTCGCGGGGGCCCCCGGGGGCCCCCGGGAGGGCTGCATGAACGGGCGGCGGGGGGCCCCGGGGAGTTCGCCGGAGTCGCGGAGCCGGTTCAGTTGTTTGGCGGAGCGCGCGTCTCCGTCGAGCGAGTTCCGGGGGCCCCACCAGGACGGGCGCGCGAGCGCGGGGGCCTCTGGGGGCCCCCCGGGAGGGGCCCCCGGGGGCCCCCCGGGGGGCCCCGCGGCGGCGGACGGGCTGCCGGCCGCGCCGCGGGGCCCCC